TAATAAATAATATAAATGCATGTGTATCAGAAATGTATCATAAAATGTAATACATTTAGTAATTGTCACGTAGATTTTTGTCATCGTAATTATATACAATGATGGGTCTCTATGTAATGATAAAACTATTATATGTATACTTCTCACTATCATCGTATCATTGTGTTTTTATTTGTTAATGTTATTTTTATTCTGTTATCAGGGTCTCAGCATCACACACCAGCCTCATACCCTCAACCAGTCTCCAACCATCCAGGTACTACACACACACATACTGTACATCTACATAAACCACACTCTTTGTTAAATCTGTGTATCATTTGTTTGTGCGCCACAGGCCCAGAGTTCTGGTGCTCAATCTCTTACTTCGAGATGGACGTGCAGGTCGGGGAGATGTTTAAGGTTCTAGCCAATTGTCCTGTGGTGACAGTGGATGGATATGTGGACCCTTCGGGTGGGGACCGCTTTTGTTTGGGTCAGCTTAGCAATGTTCACAGAACTGATGCCAGCGAGAGGGCACGGTCAGTGTGCATTCAACATGATAATTATACACGTTCATTCATCGCCGGAGATTCAAGTTTTTGAACACCTGACATCTACCCTACAGGCTTCACATTGGTAAAGGTGTTCAGCTGGAGTGCCGTGGGGAGGGGGACGTGTGGATGCGTTGCCTCAGTGACCATGCTGTATTCGTGCAAAGTTACTACTTGGACAGAGAGGCAGGGAGAGCGCCAGGGGATGCCGTTCACAAGATCTACCCAGGAGCCCTCATTAAGGTGCACCTTTAATGACATCACTCCGAAGCACTGCTTTCTTCTTTGCAATTAAATCATATCAGACATCAAAACCAGAAGGGCAACAACTTTGTGCATTATAGACAACATATGCATTTGGCAGCATTATACATGTTTATTTTCAGGAAACAAGCATACATATGTAAAATTAAGCATAAAGTTGTGGACAAGGACTGAAATATTTGGATCAGTTTGTCCCAAGTGCTGGTGAACTAATCCCATTTTATTCCTCCAGGTGTTTGATCTTCGTCAGTGTCACAGGCAGATGCAGCAGCAAGCGGCGACTGCACAGGCAGCTGTGGCTGCTCAGGCTGCAGCAGTGGCTGGGAACATCCCGGGGCCTGGCAGTGTTGGAGGCATCGCTCCAGCCATCAGTGAGTTGCTGGTCCCAAAAACATTCATTTTCCAGTTAAATGTGATCAACATTTGAACGATCTCAATAACACAACCATTCTGTTTACTGTGGTGCCAGTCTTTCCTGAACTGCTTTTCATCAGCAGTGTGCTGACTCTAAAGCCCCTCAGCAAAAGAAGTAATTTACCCAATTTTGCACTATGAATTGAATATGATGTGATGAAAAGCATGTGCACAGTAAATAATGCCAATGCAATTCTTTTAGTGAAACAAAAACCTACAGCTCGGCCAGTGTAGTCCAATTCATGAACAAATCACTCTTACGAACTGGTTCTTTGTAGTGAATCAAGAACATACAGCACGACCAGTGTAGTCCTATTCACAAACTATTGACTCTTTGGAAGTGGTCCTTTTAATGAATAACGATAATAATAATAATAATGTTAAATTTATATAGCGCTGTTCCAGAGCTCAAAGCGCTTGAGCGCAAAACATGAACACAACCTCGAACAACCTCTGTGGCATTCGAGGTCCAAATGAGTGCAAACTCCAGGACCTCAAGCAGCAAACGGGAACACTCGATGACACAACGTCAGTGAAGCAGACACCCCGTCCACGGCGTCCACACCACAAACACCGCCAGGTCAGCGGGTTCAGGTAGGCCAGATGAAAGACCATAACAAGCAGCATAGCGTGGCACACCACCTCTGCAGACCAACAGGAATCGCAAAAATGAATTGTCCAGTTGAAATTCATGACGTAAAAACACATTTATACAAGATAAAACAGACAAACAGCCCAGTGTGGAAAGGCAGTCAAATGTGGAAACGCGTGACACATTAAAAAAGAAAAAATGATTAAAAAGACCCTCAAATTGCAGTTGAACTGCATAGTTTGGACTCTGTTGGTAATTATTAAAATTAATCTTTTTTTTTTTTTATTGTTCCAAGCTGGAAGGTTACAATTTATAACGGAGAAAGAATTTTTGTCATATGTCAGCAAAATTAGCACAATCATGGAAATATTCCCAAAAGAATCTGAATCGAATCATGAACTAGTGAATCAGAATCCAGCCCTAGTCTTGAAATAAACTTACTTGCTTCCTGTAATACACACTCTTCCTTATACATTTTCACAGGTCTGTCTGCGGCAGCTGGGATAGGTGTTGATGACCTGCGGCGTTTGTGTATCCTGCGGCTTAGTTTTGTAAAGGGCTGGGGACCGGACTACCCTCGACAGACCATCAAACAGACACCGTGCTGGGTGGAAGTTCATCTACACCGTGCCCTGCAGCTGCTAGACGAGGTCCTGCACACCATGCCCCTCGCTGACCTCGGACCTGTAAACTGACCCACAGACTGCAAAATATACATGCCCTGTCACAAAAACAGCGAGGATGACAGATGGAGAGAAAGAGAGAGACACACACACCTACACAGGCAAACAGTGACTCAAAGTACCACATACACACATAAGCCTTCACACACACACAATCTTTCCACAGCCTTGGCCAGCAATGTGCCTCTGAACTGACCAGTGTTTAGTCCACTCTCGGGTGCTGTTGACTTGGTTGTCACGGTAACACAGACCAAAGGCCCTACTGATGAGTTCACACTAATAGAGGTCCAAAAGAGGTGAAAGTATGTTGGTTAAGAGGGAGAGAAAGATCCATATAGCTAAAAATATAACACCGTTAATATGCTTAATCCTCAGAGACCCAAGCATTGAGATTAATTATATGTTTTTCATCTTTAGGAAGCCATTAGTTATAAATACCATTTCATTTAGCAAAATTTACATTGGGGTGTAATTTAAAACAAAATGTTGCAAAAATGGAATGCTGGGCTTTTAGCGTTGCAAAAATTCACTACTATTTTTCAAAACGCATAGTGAAAGTTTTGAATTGACAACAATTTAGCACACAAATGTTTTTGAAAAATTATGTATTTTAACCAATGAGGTTAAGAAGTTAAACAATTTACTGTAATATTTACATCAAAGTGTGCAGTAATGTAATGCCAGTTTAATATAATTGAATATATTTTGTACTATTAATTGAATGGTCACCATTTTAAGTATGGTTTCAAATTTATGTACATTCAATATATTAATTTCAGAGTGTTATCTACTGTTAAGGTTTTTTTTTTCTCACATTTTTTTAAATTGGGTATTATTTAATTGCTTTATACGAACATTGCAGTTCTGCTCGGTCTCTGAGTGTTAAAGGGGTCGTATGATGCTGCTAAAAAGAACATTATTTTGTGTATTTGGTGTAATGAAATGTGTTACTCAATCGGATTTATCTTAGTTCCTTTAGTGGCAGCTTATCGGAATGCTGAGTGCAGACAGGACGTCCAGGAACAAATGCATTTAAAACCAGCTAACAGAGAGGATAGAAAATGTGCTGTATAATACAAGCCAGTACATTTTATCTGACAAATCTTGAAATGAGACCAAAGACTCAAGTGAGATCAAAGAATCTGCAGTTTTAATGACAATCGACTTATGAATACCATAATAGTTTATAATTCAGTGACACAGAGATAAAAGTTGGGATTTTTGTCTGCTAGGCTATACATGAGGGATATTAAACAGTGCTGAGCTATGTTTCAAAACAGTCTTGACACTTACATTCATGCTGAAACCTTAATAAGCCGTGACACTGAGACAGAAGTGAGGACACCTAGTGGTTATTTCAAGTAGTGCATTCACTCATACACAGCCTTGCATTTTAGACATGGGTTACCTGGCATGTTTAAGCTTTATATATTACGAATTGTATTTAATTTAAGGATTCTGTGAGAGGATGTGCTATATTGTGAATATATTCATGACAAAAGGGAGTTGTTAGGCAGGATGCCTCCAAGAGATGGGTTTCCAAAATTAATTTCCAGGACCCTTAACCAGCACTGCTTTAGCTGTGACTATATTCAGAATACAGCATGCACTCGAGTGCCTTATTGCTTCCATACAGCAGTCACTACAAAATAAAAATATTAATATCCTAAATTCATTAAGCATTCATCTGCAGAAAACCTGGCATAACATAACAACAATCATTGGGGAAAACTTTTCTTGGTACTTATAGCACCCCTCTGGCCTCATGGGATAGCAAAGGGTCCATGGGTTGCTTAGTTCACAATCTAAGAGGTCAGGAATTTTTCAAATTTTTTGTGAGATAAACCCGTTTATCCTGAAATATTTACTTGAAGTACCCTCTGAGATTGTAGGTTAATATTTCAATTATTTAAGAACACATTTGCTTGTTCACGGTTTTCTGTTAGCAGCTAATGGTCACATTACATACAATTAAACAAATCAAATATCAAACCCTTTTTAGTAAGTTATTTGGATTGTTTTGATTTTTAATTATTTTAATTTTACAATTTTAGGATTTAATTATTAGCTTTTCATCAACTCATGAAGCCCCTGCAGTTTTCTCGTTCATGACAATTAGGTATTTAACTTTTTGCATACTGTTTAGTATCGAAGTATGCATATTCACATATGGGTTTTCTGTTTTCTAATTGCATGTGATCATTTAAATTATACACTGTCCTGAGCTATTTATAAAAAAATAAATAAGCAGGCTAGAATGATGGTTTAAACTATTACAAAATCTATTTTCAGAAGGATCATGACATATTGATAAAATTTATTTCTTCTGTTTTTTGCACACATTAAAATTTTAGACACCCCGCAATCCCAATATCTAAACTTCTAATTTTATTTTTTAAACAAAGTCTTATGAGAAACGTACTTTATGTAGCTCTGCGGATCTGAAATTGCTGGAAAATACAGGACGGTAAGGTGTTTGGATGCTGGTGGGCGGTACATACGGTCAGACTCCCGATCTGACGCAGTGTATCCCGACGCTCAGCATCCTTCAGCGCGCGCAGCATCCGACAACGGCCTGGATCGGGCCAGACACGAGGACACCGCGTACCGTAGAGATGTAGCCATGAATCATCTACATTATATCAACTAAACGAAGGACCGTCGACATTTATTGTTTATTCAACGGCTGTTATTGCGCCCAACCCTAAAAATGACTGAGATCACTGAAATACGCGCGACGTACGGTGAGTATAGCGCAGGCCTGAGCCATCCCGACACGCGTGAAATATGAATATTACGCATTATGGATACACCTGACCTGGTTAAGATAGCACTAATTAGTGATGTGTGGTTTTGGACCGTGCTTGTTGAGCTTCTTAATTCAAGACTATATAACCAAAATCAATAAGCCTATGTTGTTTATGTAGTGATTCATTAAATTGTGAGCGTTTGTGAACGTCGCCATGTTGCTAAAGTGTTTTAATGGAGTGGTGCGCAGTGAGATGGGAGCAGGAATGACGTGATGTCTAATCCGGACTGGACCCGAGGGCTCTTTGTTTGTTAAAAACACACAAGCGCACCGCTGAGATTACAGTCTCCACCCATGTGTCCTCAAAATCGCCAGCTGGACTGTAGGGGCTAGTTGTCACACGGGGAATTGATCACAAAAGCTCTGTCCCAGTTATTAAAAGGTTTGAGTCAAAAGCACAATTATGCAAATGTGTGTTTTATTTAGCAGTGGTCATCCGTGCTGGTTTCAATCATTTATAGTTCAAAACACTCTTATAGGAACATTTAACCTAAAATGAAAATTCTGTCGTAATTTAGACACCCTCATGTCCCATAAGAGTTTCATTTGTATGGACAAAACTTTTTTTTTTTTTTTTTTTGCTCTCAGCTGCTCTTTGACAGATGCCATTTAGGGAAGTGGTTGTCAACCTTTTTGGCTCCAAGACCCCCCACTTTCCACAGCAATATTCAGAGACACCATGTTTTTTTCCAGTCTTTCATGATTTATAGTATAAGTATTAAGGACAAAGACTTTTTAAAAATATTTCTCTTTTTTTACCCACACTTTCTACCCAATCAAATATTTTAGAGTTTGACATAACTTGAAAATGTATATTTCTTATTTAAAAGAGAGAGAGAGATTTCATAAGATTCTACTAATTAGACTCCTTCATATCCCTTCATATCCAGGTTTTTCTAGACAGTGAGAAAAAAACTTGTTGCAGGGATTTCTTAAAATAAAATAAAATAAAATCTTGATTTGAGTTGTTATAGCATATTTTAAACCTTGTTTTTGCTCATTTTAAAGCTTATTTTAACACCCAACTGGGCCCTGGCCCTGTGGTTGAGAACCACAGGTTTAGGGTGTTTGTGGTGTTCAATGTAAACAGACAGTATAAGTGTTGGGGTTAAGAGGATCTTCTCGCCTCTTTTAGATGTGATGGGGCAATTTACAGTCTCTAATTATAGAAGTGGCATAAGGATTTTAAATATTGGTATAAAACAAAATATGTTGGGATTATGTTTAAAACCATTTTGTTTATTCTCAGAATTATACAAAATTGATTTCCTCTATACTACGCCTGAATTAAAACAAATTTGTGAGAACAATTTTAGTAGAGAAGCTGAAAATGGATTAGAACTGTGTTGTCACTGGTTTATATGTTTCACTTTAATCACTAAACTGATATAAAAAGCATTATCTTTAAGGAAATGAAACTTTTTAGGGCTAATGTAAAGGCATAACAGAGTTGTGTCTGAGGGTGTGAGATAACGTGACGGAAAGGAGTGTCCACCTCCATCTGGCATGAGCCTCCAAGTGACGTTTACGCTCCAAACACAGCTTCTTCGCCCACTCTCACTGTGGGCTGCACATGTATACACAGAAGAGGCACCGTGTGTTTTGAATGATGTGCAGAGTCATGTAGGATTTACACAAGGACCCTGTATAGAATCCTGTAAGACAGTATTGAATGTAGACATTTTACAATGGAGGATCTTATCTTGTTTGAGATACAACCAGATAATCTGTGATTAATTTTTTTTATTAATTAAAAATGCTTTGGGTAACAGCTCAAAACCTAAAATCAAAGACTTTTTTAATTTAATATTAATATTTTAAAGTCAGCTTGAAATGGAAATTCACTCTAACTATTTTCTTAATGCAACTTAATGTTCTTACTGTGAACAGTAAGTCCATGCATGTTTATTTTGATTTTTGATCTCATAATCTGTCATAACTCAATCTTCCTGTGAAACAAAAGATTTCTCTCTAATAATTTTTGCACGACTTCTCCAATCATTTAGTCAGCATTCTTGCAATAGACCACATGCATGATTCAGATTTGCCTCCATTCAATCAACAACCAATGCACTAACCAAGCCCCCCCATATTTTTTTCCTTTTTTTGATAATCCATTTCACTTGAATGTACTTAACATGTAAAAAAAAAAAAAAAAAAGTTCTGCTACTACTTCCATTATATCACGACTTTAAATGGGACAAGATGAAGGTTATTCTAGACATTTTGCTGCATCGTTCTGGTATGATTTATCCACACTGAGACCACAGTGCTGGAATAACGTGCAGTACTCATTTCTGTCAGGGTTGGTAAATTGATGTCCTGAATTGATTACACTGCTGTAGACAGTACTGTGTATTGTCATTTTCTGGTATGGGAAAGTCAGAGCATGCATCATTTAACTCATCGTCCTCAGACAGATGTGCTTGTTTGTAATTTAGCAGATTCTTTTGCCTTCTTCAAGGGCGTAACATTGATAGGGCTCTTTTAGCAACCCTCACAGGTCTCTCCTTCCTGCAATGCAATCTGCAATGTTTTAACTAGCAGTGACTTAATCATTAAGCTACCATCACCCTAGACAGATGTATATCTGGTTTTTCTGATATTTGATCACTCTACTGCGTAGACACAGTCTAGACACACCTGTCAGGGCTCTAAAGTAGGCCTGTCACGATAACAACTTTTTGTTGTGCGATATATTGCCCCAAAAATAATTGCGATATTGCAATTGTCATTTTAAAGACCATTTTATGCCACTGAATATATAATCATAATGTAACGGCATAATAATGCAAGAAGGCCAACACACTTCCAAATGACAACAAACTTTTAATTTAAGGGATGTTATTTTGATTTATATGCTGAGAGATACAGGGTACGCCGAAAATACAGACATTGAGATGTCACTGAGAAGTCAGAAGCTTTGCTACTCTCAGTACATTGATTAAAAACAAAGCTGTGGACATGTGTGCGTGCGTGATGTGGGTGTCTCTCCTCTTTGTTTGCGTGTGCTTTTGGTTCATATGTGTCTACGCCCCATGGGATGTTTCCAGGTAATTGTAGCAGCTGTTTTTTTTTTTCTCTGAGCCTGCCAAGTCTTACATCATCTAGCAAGTGGGGTGAGGGTCTTTGTCTGGGGTTGGGTGAGAGTGATGGAGCAAAGAACAACAGAATGGGTGGAGTGCTGGCAAATATCTTTTTCTGTCTGCCTCACGCTGTTAATTTGGGCTGTAGCTCCATCATGCTGTTCTATCTGGGCAGTGATGACTTTTGCTGCCTTTTTTAAAAAGCTTTGTCTCCCTTCACCATAGGGCTGCACGATTATGACAAAAATCATAATTGTCAATTATTCCCTTGAAATTGTAAGTTCGATTATTATACTATTATCACAATTTACATTGAATGATGTTTATACCATTGTTTGAAGCCAATGCATGCCGTATTTTTATATGAACATAAACAAGCTGAAAATACTCTAACTGAAAAACTTTTATTGCTTTTTTTATAGTATTCAGCATAAAGATTCATTGTTAAGCAAATCATGTTTGAGCAGCTCATCTTACATTGGCCATATATCAGCAACAAACAGACGAGTGTTTCCTTTATCTTAGTCTTAATTTAACATGAGGACAGAAAGCTTCAGTAAATAAACTGTCCTTCAGACTTTTATCACTTACTGTAAGTGCAATTATTTTTATTGATTTTATATCAAAAACTTTCAGGTGGTAGAAATAAGTCTCATATGTCCACCAAAACTGCATTTATTTGATCACAAATAGAAAATACAGTAAAAACAATAATATTTTTAAAATAAAAAAATATGATGGCAAAGCTCAAATTTCAGCAGCAATTACTCCAGTCTTCAGCGTCCCGTGATCATTCAGAAATCATTCTAATATGCTGATTTAGTGCTCAAGAAACATCATTTATTATCAGTGTTGAAAACAGTTGAAGGATCCAGTTCAGCAGTTGAAGACTGTTTCATATTTTTTGTGGAAACCTTGATACAGTTTTTTCAGGATTCTTTGATGAATATAAAGTTCAAAAGAACAGCATTTATTTGAAATAGAAATCTTTTGTAACAGTATAAATGTCTTTGCTGTCACTTTTGATCAATTTAACGAGTTCATGCTGAAAAAAGATGTCTTTAAACAACATTTGTAATGTAGCATACCATTTACATCCCAATGACAAACACTCTGATGCAGCTATATATTTACACAGAACCAACCAAGTGTAAATACAAGAATTTTTAATGATATTTTGTAGCTGTGGTGTTGCAGAGTAATACCGGATGTAGTCGTCTCTGTGTGGGATGATTGTGTTCCTCTGCATCTGCGGGTGGAGTGGGCATGAAGTATATATAAAGCGAGTCTGCCGTGGGTTTGTCAGTGTCTGCTTGTTCAGAGCTGTTGTGCTTTCACCATCTAGCACGAGAAAGACTGTTTTATTATTTATGATTTAAGCTTGTGAACATCTCCAGGTATGAATATGCTGTGTGTGTGAATGTAGATAGATGTGAGTTGTTGTTCATCAGTCAGTTTACTCTTCTGTCTCTGTTTTTCTCTTTTAGATATGTCTCCAGTGCTGGCGGGGTTTATCGGTGCTGGTGTGTTGGTCGTTGCAGTCATTGCAGTAATCTTTGTGTGGACTTGCTGTCAAAAACATTACAACAGGACGAACTACAAGCTTCATGGAATCCAATCGGAACAAAGTGATCCTCTCACAGACCCTCCATACAGGTTTATTCACATGCTGAAAGGAATGAGCATCTACCCTGACACGCTTACCAGCAGCAAGAGGATCATACGAATGGCACGCCAGGCCAGATCCCAGACCACCGACGGGGCTCAAAGCAACAAGGGCCGCCCACTGGTGCTCGTAGATATGGACTCGGCAGCAGAAAGTGGCCTGCTGGGAGAGAAACAAATGCAGATGAGGCTCGGGGAAAGTGGCCATGTGGTTCCCAAGCTGGAGAGGGAACTTCCTGTGTGTGCGGATTACTGCTGTCTGGACAGCAGCTCTGCTAGCAGCAGTCAGACCTCCAGTACTACGGTTTCCAACACGGCTACACCCTTCACCCCCGCAGATGAGCCCAGCCGAGGAGATCTCAGCATTGCAATCAACTATAACTTCCCCAAGAAGGCATTGGTGGTCACCATCCTGGAGGCTCGGGGGTTACCGGCAGTGGAAGGCCAGGCGGGGAGTGCCGACCCCTATGTGAAGATGACCATTCTCCCCGAGAAGAAACATCGCGTTAAGACTCGGGTCCTGAGGAAGACTCTGGAACCTGCGTTTGATGAGACCTTCACATTTTATGGCGTGCCATACAGCTCCCTGTCGGATCTCACTCTGCACTTCCTGGTGCTGAGCTTTGATCGGTTCTCACGAGACGATGTGATCGGGGAGGCAATGGTTCCGCTGGCAGGTGTGGACCCGAGTACAGGCCGGGTCCATATTACACAACAGATCACAAAGAGAAGTATGCAGGTGAGAAAGAGCATAAACACACACACACACACAAAAAATACATATGAGCCACAAACTCAGTCTATCTAATTAAACCTAGATCAAATTCAGATTTTTACGACATTATATTGCACAATGAAGTGCATTATAAAGTGCTTTATACATGGAGCGCGAAAAAAAGATCGAAAGCAAGAATAAGAAATGTTTTTTTTTGTACTATTATTATTTTTCATATATATTGTAAAAAATTATAAATAGATATTTATAACAATAGTAACACTTTACAATAAGGTTCATTAGTTAACTGTATTAGTTAATATGAACTAAACATGAACAATACTTCTACAGCATTTATTGATCTTAGTTAATGTTAATGTCAACATTTACTAATACATTAAAATCAAAAGTGGCATTTGTTAACATTAGTTAATGCACCGTGAACTAACATGAACAATGAATAACTGTATTTTCATTAACTAGCATTAACAAAGATTGATAAATACTGTAGAAGTATTGCTCATTGTTAGTTCATGTTAGTTAATACATTAACTAATGTTAACAAATGACACCTTATTGTAAAGTGTTACCAATGTAATAATAACAAGAAATGTAACAATCATTTCCTGCATTCAGTTTGTGCTGGCGCTGTGTGACTGATTCATCTGGGTTCTTTTTATAAGTCTGACACTTGTATGAGCTCAGCATTGATTCACTGTGCATCACTGTCTCATCCTCCTACTGAAGTTTGTAGTCATTGATAAATGTGCGTATCCTCCTGCTCACTGAGTGGGTTTAGATGATGCGTAGACAATCCAGTTGGCACGTACATGAAAGCCTCCTCGTGCCTCCACACAGAACCCAAGCTCTGAAGGATGAGCTGTGAAGATTAACAGAAAACAAGTTATTAACAAGTCATCAGCCCACTCATTTTGTACTTATTATTAATGCATCTGATCAGTTCCTTTGCTAATACACCATGTGCTGAAGAGCTGCTATCACATTATCACTTACCTGCTTATTCTGCAGTTCTTCCATCCAGTGCTGTAGAGGTGCATTGAGAACCCAGGGATATTCTTACATGTATTGTAATGTTGATTCAAGCCAAAGAGGTCTATTCAATAATTATGTTGTCTTAAATACTTAAACTGGTTGTCTCTTTTTAACTTTTGTGTCTGTGTATTTGCATTTCTGCAGTGCGTGAGCCGTGGAGAGCTGCTGGTCTCTCTGTCCTATCAGCCTGTTTCTCACAGACTGAGTGTGGTGGTGTTAAAAGCGAAACACCTTCCAAAATTGGACATCACTGGCCTATCTGGAAGTAATTGTACATTTAAATGATTTTTATTTATTTATTTTTACTGCACTCGTTTAAATGTTTTGGGGTCAGTACGATTTGTTAATGTTTTTAATGAAGTCTCTTATGCTCACCAAGGCTGCATTTATTTGAACAAAAATTTTGATAAATTGCTGAATAAATGTAATGGTTGTTAAAAAAACATTACAGACCCAAAACATTTGACAGTCAAATATACACTACATTCTTAACAAATTACATATTTTTTTAAAATTATAATATATGAAATGAATATTAAAGTATTTTTAAGTCTGTCTTATTTTTAAACCTGTCTTAATTTGTGTCCTAGATCCGTATGTGAAGTTGAATGTGTTCTATGGCCACAAGCGCATTGCCAAGAAGAAAACGCACGTGAAGAAATTCACGCTCAATCCAGTCTTTAATGAATCCTTCATCTACGATGTGCCAGCTGAGTTGCTGCCAGACATCTCTATCGAGTTCCTAGTCATGGACTTTGACCGCACTACTAAAAACCAAGCCTTGGGACGCCTGGTGCTCGGCGCAAACAGCCCCTGCCCCTTGGGAGCCACTCACTGGCAGGAGGTCTGCCAAAATCCACGACACCAAATCTCAAAGTGGCACACGCTCAGCGAATATTAGAGCTTGACCATGCTCTCTCTCCACACACACGCTCAAACACAGGCACACAGGAAACATTTAATGATGAAAGAGAGAGTTTTGGGAAAAGATGCCTTTGTTACCGTCACTACATGGAAGGTAGCTGATTATCAGCAGGACTTGTAAAAAAAAAAAAAACAGAATTGAGCCAACTTTTATGTCGTTGCTAATGCAATGATGGGCCTCGGAAATGCATCTTTTTAAAAGTACACATTTACATTCTCACTCAGTTGCTCACATATACACACACATACACACCGCCTAAACACAAACATACATGACAAATAATAAACGAGACCAAAATAACAAAAAACATATTGACAGACTGTTAGAAGTTTATGAGGTTTGGGATTCTGTAACTGTCCTTATAAAACTTAACGCACGTCTTAATGCACCATATTTCACTCCAGAACAGGACATTGTGTGGATTTGTGATGCTGGCGCACATTAAACAGGCTCTTTTTTCGAGGCATCTGATTTACGGAATTCCACATTATTTAAAGTTAGTGGAAGGAGTTTGTTTTGAAGGAGCTTGTAACGAGCGTCTTATGATATGTACTGATTCTCCACTGTATGAGAAATACACTGTGAAGTGACACAGAGGTTGTATGATCTACGCTAAATTATGATTTGTTCTGTTCTGCTTTGGCTGGAGATGTTTCGGAGATTCCTGCTGTGTCACATTCTCCACAGCTACAAGTTGAGTCATGTGATTGTACAACAATAACCCTGTTGGCAGCACTCTGGGCCTGATTTATTGCTTGTGCAATGACTTCATCATGCACTTTGAGTAAATCTGGCCCTGAATAACTTAATCTGCACTGCTATGCTACAAACACACTCTGAATGTCACCGTCTGTATGAATTTCATACATCAGAGCTTCACTTCACCGTAAAAGAGTGGTTCACTGTTTCGTAGATTGTACTAGCCAATGTCATTAGATGACCTTTTTAAGGTGGATTGGATTCACTTTCATTTTAAATCCTGTGTGATATAGAGATAGACAAAGAGGTGTGTTTGTAGTTTGGAGCTGGAAAGCTCTGGTATATTACGGGGTCATTCAGAGCCCTTTGGTGTGATGTCTGGGAAATGGAAAGACATGTAGCGTTTTATCATTTGTAGTTCATAAAGTCAAGGGGGAAGATGTTCATGTTATTCTATCAATAACAACAGTCTGTTCTTCAAGCATATCTCCTTCACCTCAGTTTCACTTTTTTGTCTTATACCACTTTGTCACATCTCTCTTTTATAATGAGAACTTGTAAAGTCATGGTTTGCCAGTGTGCCTGCCGATAGCCTGGGCCTTTATCTCTGATTGGTGCTTCTCACTGTTAATGAGGTCTGAATCTGGCATAGAGTGTACTGTGTTTTATATGGAGTAAGAATTAAGATTGGGAACCAAAAAATCAGAGCTGATTCCATTACAAAAAAAGAACAAAATACTGGAAAAAAAATCTCCTTTAATGATTATCGCATGTGCATTTTTTGGCTAACACTATTTAAAAAACTCAGTTTCCTGTTTTCTACATTTCCTACACAATTTATTCAGCACAGTGCCACAACACCGCTACTGAATTTACATTGTGAAACATATAGTGAGTATAGTCCAGTGTAGTCCAATTACAGAATAAATGGCTATAGTACACTCTTAATAATGAAGGTTCTTTATTGGCATTGATGGTTCCATGAAGAACCTTTAACATCCATGGAACCTTCCATTGCAAGAAGGTGGGAAAAGGTTCTTTAGATTATTAAAATGTTCTTTACACTAAGAAAAAAAAATGTTTCTTTTATGAAATGTTCACTTAAAGGTTCTTTGGGGAACCAAAAATGATTCTTCTGTAACTATTCAGAATAGTGACTGACTGGTTGTTCATATGACAACATGTAGTTACTGATTGTGTAGTTTAAAGATACATATTATGTGTTTTGTTATTAGTATTTTATAAATATTAATAAAATCACGTGTTTGTTTAGTACTTTTGTCAAATATATTTAAGGTCAGTTATTGGATTGCATTTATATTGCCTGAAAAGACTATTATAAGAATTGTTTTCAATTTACTTATTATTGAAATGAACTCATCAGTTGAAAATTGGCAATGTAATTGCATTTTCCCCAAATATATTTTCCTTAGAAGAATTGTTAATCAGAATTGTCAATCAACTGTTAAAGAACCAGAATCAGAACCGAAACCAGAACATTTACATTATTCTCGTATTTCTATCCCAAGCAGGAAATGTGCCCAAGATTCAGGAGACCCAGCAGAGCAGGGACAATAACAGATTACACAGGAAGTGTCACTTCCTATACATACATCCAAACATTCAAGATCAATTCCCCGCAAATTAACCGCTAGCGGTCAGCTGGTTTTGTGGCACATGGTTTGTCTATCATAGAGATATTAGATTCTAAACTGTAATTCTGGATGGAAAAATGCTTCTTTCCATTCAAGCTTCTTACATGCTCATGCCACACTCCCTGTATAAAAGCGCACCCTATCCACTAAGTAATGTCTTTCGTATAGAAGATACTTTTTTTTGTGTCGGATCACTGATATGACAAAATGGAAAGATATTAAAAGATTCAATCCATGTGACAATACATACATGAAAACAACAACAGATTAAAGTATTAAAAAAAAAACGTGACATACACAATCACTTTGGTGTTCAAAAATTAATTTGCAGGAAACTTCCAAATGTATTAGTGCAAACTAAAAAAATATCTTGTGAATATTTGACATATACTGTACTGCAAAATGCTGTGAGATCTCTGCTAATGTTACACACCCACCTGTATGTTAGTGTTCTTAACACCCACTGAATGTGCTAAATAAACGTGATACACAATTGAATTCTCTCTCCTAGTATATTTTCACTCCAATATTATTTGGATATTTTCAAAATGTGCTTCTGGTTGAGATGGGTCGAATAACATTAAGAACCTTTGGAAAATCAAAATATGCCAATATTAAGGTTGTCTTAAAGTAAATGAATGGTATTAAAGCTAAACCGAAGCAAATATCTGTGGTGTGAGCAGTGACGTCAATTAAAATGAAATATTTTACACCAGTTACTAAATTAACCATGAGGGGTTCTTTTGTCTCCCTCTTATATCACTGATTCAATTATTGATAGTAAAAAATTCTGATATTTAAATGTTATCAAACATGTTTGACTGGGAAATGAAAAAATACAGTAGTGCTCCAGAAGCTTCATGGCAAGTCTGAGAAATTCCCCAGGCTCAAATGATTGTTTACACTTATTAAAAAGTCCAGTTTACTGAGTCATTTTTTAAGTTGGGAAATGAGGCAAACTGATATGAGACTACATGACTCTCCAAAGAGAGTCTTTGTGAAGGGTTTCAATTATGACTTGGCAACGTGAGATGACCTTAATATACTTCATCTCCAATGAAATTCAGATTTTCTTGGAAGAAACCTCAAGCTTCTGGTAGGCCATGCTTCCTCATTCAGTTTCTAAATCAGAACAGGAATGCTGATATAAAGGGGGCTGAACACCCATTAAAACTTTTGAACTGTGACATTAGAATCATAACTGACTAGACTCTCTGTACACAGCAGATATATTCATACATCACAAGTTTAAGTGACATTTAGGTTACATTCTTTGAGATTTGTTGTTCATACAATTTTGTACAATAAATACAACTCTACTCGTCTGTTGATCACAATAAAGATCCAAAGAATAAAGATGGTATAAACGATGGTACGCATGTCCTAGACTATTTTTCATCTGAATCAATGTGAGAAATGTCATATGTGAGAAACAGACACAATCACACTTTGTCACTGTTAGGTAAACCAACAAACTAGCAAACACCATGAAAACGTCTCGGCATACGTAGACTGGCCGCACCCTAAATGAGGGACATCACATGCATCTACCATGAAAAATGACAAAACCATCCAACCAAACCCTCATTTCAGACACAGCAGACCAGGACTGAGACCTAATATAAAGGGCAAATCTAGAAGGTTTGTAATAAAGATATTTTTTATTTCCACATTTCACAAAGGACTCCCTCATTCATCTTAAAGGTAAGAACTGTTGCTGTTTTGACAGTTTTTGACACTTACTGTCTACTCTATAATAACCAAAAGCATGACAAACGCACAATTTGTAGTCACACAACTACTCTCAGAAACTGGTTTATTCTGAAATAGTTTTACAATCTTAATAAATAAAATGTCATTAAAAATACATAATTTTTTTTTATTACAGAATTTGTGCAACATTTTAAATGTATTACCTCGTAACTTTAGCTGACGACCAAAGAGTATCTGAGAGAGATTGATCATTTTGGTTTACTGTAACATAAACATAGACAGGTGCTTAACATATAGAGTCCTGAACCAGGATCAGTTTCCCTTGCATCTTATTTCTTAGATAATGAAAGGCAAGCATGACCTGAAGCATTGGAGACTTGATCAGTGGTCTGTTTCAAATTCACACACGCTTTATAAGTCTAGTATCATGTCTGGTCTTCATCTTAAAATTATTTTTCTATTTATTTCACTCACAACACCATTTTATTAAGGCAGATTATAAATGTGTTTTTGTTGTGACTGTTATCTTTAAAGGGTTAGTTCAGACAAAAATGAAAATTATGTCATTAATTACTCACCCTCATGTCGTTTCAAACCCATAAGACCTTCGTTCATCTTCGGAACACAAATTAAGTTATTTTTGATGGAATCTGAGAGCTGTCTGACCCTGCATAGACAGCAACGCAACTGAAATGTTCCCAAGTCCAGAAACGTAGCAAGGACATCGGTAAAATAATCCATGTGACATCGGTGGTTCATCCGCAATTATACAAAGCTACGAGAATACATTTTGTCAATTAGTTGAGTTTTAATTTATTTAAATTACAATTATTATATTAATTCTATTTTTCAAATAATTTAAATAACCAATTAGAATTTAAATTGAACTAAAACGATACATTATTATATTTTTGCACATACACAAAAAGTAAAGTTTTTTCATTATTTTATTGTTTAAAATGACCTTCAGTACATATATAGTGAGTTTGCCATTTTACCTTAATAGAGTAAGTACTTGAAAAGAATCCATTAAGCGAATTAAGAGACAAGGCTTTAGCTAGATAATTTTGTTTTATTTATAGATATTTTACTTATTGTTAGGATTTATTTTTAATTTATTTATCCATA